TTTCTTTTTTTAATGACTGAAAAAGTGAATTTCAGAACTTGACCCGGTTGTTTTTAATAGCTACAACAGTTAGCTGCACCAAAATAATAATGGGACCACTTCTAATCAAAGGAAATAAAAGTAAATTGCAATTGAATGTTGAGGGTGGGCTTCAGGGACAGCGTCAAGGGAACGTTACAGGACACATTTCATTCAGTTTCATAGCTCAGGATAAGTTAAAAGTGACAAAATAGCACCACAAATTGTGGAACCGAGCTTAAAGTACAACTCTAATGGGAGTTTTGCATCGATTGATGCTGTAAGTAGCACCAAATACCCTCAGGACAGAGATGTGTATAGTTTTCTGACATGTACCCATAGTGACTTTCCTATTCCTACCACCTATCCAATTCAGAGTTCAAGCTGGAACATATTTAATTAGTGTATTTAAAAACTGAAACCAGCTTTATAGACGAGCCCTGTTCGGGCAGTTTCGAAAAACCAGTCCTCCCACTCCCTAAATAGAACTTGACACAACACTACGTAAAAGATTAACCATTCCGCGTAGTTACACACGTGGCATGACCTTTAATTATTATAGTCCCCTCCCCACCTCCCCTACATCACCACTACACTTACCCCTTTGCCTTCAACACCGACGAACTGTCAGCCACGGTCAGCCCCCCACCCCCTTCCCTTCTCCCTGCACCCCGCGGGGTTGTTGCCTGGGATATCAGACAGGTTCTGTCCCCCCTATGGCCCGTCCACCCCTCTCCCCCTGCGGATCGGCGTGGGTCGGCGGGGCAGCTGCACGGAGCGTGCTCGAGTGGTCTCTCTCTCTCCCTCTCTCTCTCCCTCTTCCTCCCTCTCTCCCTCTCCCTCCCTCTGGCCCCGCTTCCTCCCTTCCCCACCCTCCATCGTCCACACCCAGAAAGCGCGCCAAAACAGCGGAGCCAACCACTGTGATAAACATAGGAGAAGCTTTGGCCAGCAGGGCAGGGGTGCGTTGGCACGTGAAGCCATGGGTATGGGTCACCATAGTGCAGCATCTAGTAATGGCTGTGCGGCCGTGAAGCTGAGCCAACTATATTTCTTAAGAAACACAATTGTGTTCTGCGGAGCAAGCCCCTATGCTACTCTTCATCCATTGAGGGCTTATTTCCTGATAGATTGACGCAGGAGTCCGAGAACGCGACGTAAACCGTCACCCCTTTCCAAACGATGAGCGCCTCATGGCACGCCGCGATATCGGAGATAAGGCGAAAACGGGAGCGAGAGAGAGGTATGGAGATGGAGGGAGAAAGGGAGAGCACACAGGCACTTCCGGTGGCACGTACAAGTTATGTTTGAGCACCTGCCTCCCCTCGCTTGTGGCGCGCGGGCTGCTGTGACGTCGCCAACGTCACATTCACTTACTCATAGATCGGCTTGTTATGAACGTCATTGCTAAAAAAATGTACAAATTTTATTGAATCTGCTAGGCATAAAAAAAACAATAAATACAAAAACCTGACTGAATGGTCTCGCAAGTGCACCGGCACCGGAATGTTCTTCTGTATACGCTCCGTGGAAATTTCTCGTGCGCGGAGGGGTGAGCAAGACCAAGGGGTGCAACGCAACGGACCACTGAGTTTATTGCCATGGACGTCCACCTCTCTCCCTCACGACGAATGAAAGGGAGCAAAGGCAGAGAGGCAGAGTGCACTGATAAACCTACCGACCTACACATCGTTCGTTGGCCAAGGACCATCGGAACGTGCGTCGAATACAAGGAATTGTTCAACCTAGGAGTTTGGAACATAACGTAGGAGCAATAATTTGTTCTTATGTTTATGAAATCACCGCGATTGGCTGTCAAGTTAAACGCAGCAAACCTGTAGCAGCTGTGAAGCTGTGTGCAGCGAGCGCGAGCAAAAGCAAACTACAGTCAACTATTCAAAATGACTTAAGTCAGCTTTCGGCAACAGTTTTATGTAGTTGCAATGGAGAATGTTGTCGCATTTTTTTAAAAATTCTTGCCTAGGAACGCCCTTTTAAAAACATTCCTGTTGTCATACATTTGCATGTGCGCCGCTGTGCCATGCATCTCTCCCCGCGGCAGCTGGCGTGCTCGCTGCTTTTTGCCTTGAGCTTGTGTATGTATATACATCAGGTGGCTCAGTCCTCAACCGCGCTTTTTTATTATTGAAGAAATTAGTAAGGGGTTGGAGCTGCTGCTGCTGCTACGGGGGTGAACTGCATAGGATGGGAGGGGGAGAGGGGGGACGGGGGTTGTTCTTAATGACAACCACTGCGGGGTGCGGCGGTGAACATCAGAGGGGGGAAAGGGGGGGGGGTAATGGAAGAGAGAGGTGGCGGGGCGACCATTCCAGAAGACTCAAGCCGCGCCGGCATCAACAAGACCGACTAAGCAGCCCCCAGCAATGCTGCTGCTTTGGCTTACCGGTCACAGACCGGCAGACAGCTCCCCTTGTTGTCCTTCCCCCTCCCTCCCCCCTCTCCTATGTCCGTCACACGCTCGCGTGCCAAAGCAACACGCAGACGCGGCGCGCACAGGTCCGCCACGCGACGGCGAACGAGGCATCCAATCGCAGCAAGGTATTCCCCGCCTCACTCAAAATCACCTCTATGGTGTGCAGTAATTCTTGTAATGGTAACAATACTTCACGGCCAAAAATCAAAAGAGTTCGAAGATGCATTTTATTGCTCTGAAAGTAGCTGACGTGAGTGCAATGCAGTAATGAAATGAGACACACAATTCTTAGTTCAAGCTTGTATTTAGAGCTGGACTGTTTTATAGAAAACATAACAATTCTAAATAATTCTTTCGGTGTACCCTGACAGGCAGGCGGTTTTCTTAAAATGCATGCAGATTAGGGGCCCCTCGACGGCCCCGTCACGTAGATGCAGCCCGTTTTGCATCTTTGGATCTACCCTACCCCCTTTATGGATTCAGGCAGACACGAAAAAGTTAAGGGAGTAAGTAAATATAAAAAAGTTTCACAACGAAGCGTATTCTAATTCTACTGCCACCTTTTTTTTTAAAAATGCCTGCATAATCCTTGTGCAGCAAAGATGTGAAACGACTCGTGGTGTAGAAAGGGAAAAGAGTCAGAAAAAATTGCGAATGAATAATTTCAATACGAAGCCGGGAAAGGAACAGAGAACCTGAGCAAATACCACGCCTCATCAAAATACCAGAACTTTGTCGGAAACTTTGTAAGAAATTAAACTACAAGGGAAAATTCCGTTCAAGGACCAAAAAGTGTTTAATTTTGCAGAACAGGTAAGGTGTCAGGCGAAACGGGCAGAGTGAGGGAGAGAGGGAGACCGAGAGGATCCAACACGGAATGTCAGTCGAGGATGAGCCGCTAAGGAACACGCCCCCTATGCTTCATGTTTGGCACGGAAATTTAAAAAATGCGACACGAATGAATTTGGTGTCAGCGGACGGTGTCGGCGACCAAATCCACACCAAGCGATCAAATTAGCAGCTGCCCTGGGCCAAATTAATGGTTTCATCCGGCACACTCGCGCGACATTCAAGGAAGCTCTTTCCCTTTATTTTGTTAAATTGTTTGGCAGGGTGACTGCTGCAGACCGTGTTAGATATACCGCGCGCGAGTTCCAGTTCGTTAGCGGTCCTGTACAATACTTGAAGATAGATTCAACACTCTCATGGGCGTCGCAAGCTCGTATTTTGGAGACTGTAATATGAGCCAAATGTAAGCTGAAATGGACTTAAAACAAAATAGGCAATTTTGTAGACCTTATGTCGTAGATTTGCCCTGAGTTCCTAAAAACGGCAGGCATAACTGTTCCAGCAGCAGTGCAGGCAATACCTCCACAAATCACGGACCGATCGCTGTCGTCTGGGCATGAAGGAATGCCGAAAGAATGTCATAACTATATCATACGGCCTTATGTTATGATGACTTGTTCAGCCGTCCTGCGTGGCCCTGACGAGGTGATGACGTAGTGCCCGCTGTGGATGTGAAATTTTAGGGCTGTTATTGTCGAGGTTAAGCTAGGGCAGCTGACGACTTGCTTGCTCAGTTATTATTGATTACTGTTTATTATTAATTGTTGAATTCCAACTAACAAATTGCTGTAAATGGTGTAAAATTTCTTATTAACATTTGGGAATTATAAGGCTGACCACCGTGATAGGCTGCAAAAGAACAGTTTGGTCACCCACACGGACGGCCTTTTGCTCCCTAATTGGATGGTTTTCTCTTCGTCTTGTCCAGCAAAATTCTCAAAATGACTCAAATTGCGAAGTCGGTCGCTTTTGTGGGATCACACACACACACACACACACAGGCCCCGTTTTGTCGCCAATGAGATAGGGCAGTTCGACTGCAGACCTGGTGGGGCCGCCCTGTGGCGCGCGATTCAAAGGGTTTAAACGAGTGCCGGCCGAGCTGTTTTTCACAAAACCACATAACTGCTGCTCTGAGGTGGCGACTGGCGAGGGCGAGGCCGTATGTGTGGAATAATTCATTATTGAACCCTCTGGTTATCGCTGCGGCATTGGCTGTGAAAGAGGAAGTGGGGAGTTTAATTCTTCATTGCAATCCGGAATGAGATCCCTTTTGCTCCCCACGTCAGTAGTAGTACCGAAGTAGTACACGTTTTTAACGCTATCGCACGTAACCGATAAGTACAGTTACCATTCCAAACTGCTAAAACTTCTAGTGCAGTGCAAAGTAGGGACCGTATTGACCTTTGATGGAGCCTGGTTTATTCGCGGGCGGCTTGTGAACCCCGCCCACCTTTATGAACCCCGTCAGCACCTCTCCCGCCGCCCTCTCACGTGCCGTGCATACTACGTGGGGGCATTAATAACCCCGAGCTGGACAGCGCGACAAAAGAAGCGCAGTTTCTACTACGAGTTTTATGCTCCCATTTCTCCCTGAAAATCGCTCGCTCGCTCTCTCTCTACTCTCTCTATCTCTCTCCGACTGTCTTGCAGCGGATAAGATGAGCATGGTTCTGTTTGTACGATCCGATATGCTGTCCTTTTGGCCCTCATTTTTTTTTTATCCACACTCTCGCTCTCTTTCTAATACACTTCTCGCGCGTACGTTTGTCGCTCTGTCGTCCGACTGGACCAGATCTTTTCTTCGGCACGGATAAGGTGCGCGTTGCGGGACAATGGAGCAGTAGGGGAAAAGGGGGGGGGGGGATAACCCTGGTCAGTTTCTCCAGTAAAGCTGTCGGAATCTCAATATTGCCTGAAGAAGGTTCACTGTACGTGGCTTCACGTGTACAATGGGGGTACTGGTAAATGCTGGTTTCGATACTGTTTGGCACATCGTGAAACCGTTGAGGTTTGCGTCGGGCGCCATAGCTGCGGCACGTGCTATTATCTTTGCGAAATGTCATCGTATCATTCTTATTCTCAGAACTTGCCAGTTATCCTCTGGCTTTGTTTCAGTGGTTGCTAGTTCGTCAACGACTCCGTTTGATTTCTACATTTTTCCACAGTTTTCTCTTGAGTATTCACAGCGCTACACTCGGGCTGTCCGGCCGCCGCCGCTGTTTGTCGCTGAATTTATATCACCGCCGCATTTATAGCCTGCGACCCCTCGATGCGACGTTATGCTATGCTTCGGATTTCATTTATTGATTTTGCCGTGTCAGGAAAAGACGGGGGAGCTGAGCGGGGAACAGCGGTCTGTCGAAAAGCTTTCGATAGATAAAAGTCAGCAAAAGAGGGGGACTGTCTAGTACTCTTCTGTATTTCAGGAATACTTTCTAAAAGCAGACAAATAGTTAAACACGCATTTTTTTTTAAAAAAAGTAAGGAAGATACGAGTCTATGCCACAATTGTGCTGCATATCCCCCTTTTTTCCGTTTTAAACGACCTCTATGCCAGATTACAAACTGCAGCCGTCCCTAAAATCTAATTAAATGGCATTGTCCATGTCCATCCCTTTACTGACCACTACAGAAGTTCACGCAAGCGAAAGAGTAAAGGGAGAGCAAGAGCCACGACCCCGAGAGCCCTCCGCCCCGACAGGGTGCGGAGCTGACCCTCCCGTAACAATGTTGCGACCCTGTCCCTCGCTCGTATTGTCCTTCACGCATGCCATGGGTCCTTCCTTGAGGTGTGCTCTGGTTTTAGCGCGCGCACACACACGCACACACAATTCTGAGGACGGCTTATGAAAAACGGTCCCCTATTGTCAAGTTTGCGTCATCACAGGACCTCGTGGACTGGGTGGGTCGCCCCAGTGCACCTCACTCTTCTTCCTCTTCTTATTCAGAACCTCCGGGTCAGACGCGCCAAATGCCATGCTTGTTGCGTGCATTAGGAGGGCCAGCTAGGCAGCCGATAACTCACAACCATACACTCTAAACAACGTGGTGGCCTCGCTTTGCGAAAACTTTAGCACTGTTTTTCGATTAACAAATTTTGGACGTCTTTTGGCGCCTGCCACCTATCAAAAGTTGGCCCTCAAAAGTTTGACATTCTCTTTACGAAGGCGACCAGCGTTAAGATCATTGAGGGTCAAGGTGGGGGTGATTATTTTTATTTGTACAACACTAGAAAACTGGCATTCCCAGTAAGAATGCCCTATTGACGAGGTCATAGCCGACTGGAGAAATAAGCAAGAACACGCTAGTGTCAGTATACACTCTTTAAAACCCTTTCCCCACCTCGCCCGGCCCCGAACCTGACGCGCGACACGTTGGTGGACGGCATGTTGCGCACACGCGCCTGGACCACCCTACCGACACGAGCCGAGTCCAGCCGGGCCGAGCTCGGCTCTGTTGTGGCGGAAGCGGCCGAACTCGAACGGAACCTCGTCGGGCCGTGCAGCTGCAGATGTTTCTGGACCATTACGCTCCACCCTTCCACCACGTCCTGTCCGGCTGCCGGCCTGCCCGCCGCGTGCGAGAAGGGCAGGGAGGAGGAGGGGCCGGGGGCAGCAGTGCACAGGGTGCCTGCTAACCAGGTGGACACACACACACACATGAGGTCAAGATGACGTTCGCTCAGAGATGAGCCCGAAACGCATCACACGTGAGGGCGCGGAAGGACAACGTAAAAAGGACTTGGCTGCAGTTTCTTACATCTACGTAAAATGAGTTCTCATCATTTATTCCGGACTTTTTCTCTTCTTTCCACCTGATCGTTTTGAGATCAAACCGTCGAGACAAGGATAGTACGACTATCTTTGTGTGTCCGCCCGCGTCCAGGTCAGGGCCAGGATGAAATGGGTTGTTTGTGTCGGAAAACGTCTCTTCGGACGCACCAACTGACGAAAAACAAAAGTAGAAAAATATCTGTCGAGAGAGCTTTGCATAAGCGGGTTTTAAAATATTCGCCAGTGCAGTGACTATGACTAGGCACAGATAGTCCTGCATAAGTATCGATAAACAAACGATAGCCACATCATGGCGTTGGTTACCATGACACTGCAGACCACGTGTAGAACACTGCCAGTAAATCTGCCTACTTTTCAACAAGTTTGGTTTCTGGTGTGAATATCCGGACCAGTCCTCTGTACGGAACAAAGCCATAACTTTTGCTTAATTTTTAGGCTGAAAGCGCAATGCCATTTTTCTAACTTAATTTTCCTTTTTTGGTTACTTACATATGCTTGAAGTACTTCATCGCTATATCCGCTTCGAGCCAACCTTCTTTCAACGTCTTTCTTAAAGGTGTGCTTAACTGAGTGTCGTCTTCTTCCTGATCATAATACCCCTGGAGCCTGCAGACACGTGCCGCTCAGACGGATGCCTTTAGCAGCCCGATGACAGCCAGTTGGCAGGCCCACTGCGGGGCCAAATATCTGACCGCCCAAACGACCAGTCCACTGCACTGCGGCCTGCTGCGGCCCGGCCCCCGATGGAGATATACCTCAGGGCCCCACCGCTATCGACGCTCAGCATCGCACGACGCGCCGTCGCACCGCCTTTAAAAATTACGGTTTCGCCTGAAATATGCGCCTCCAACACTTTGACGATCGAACCAATGACAGTGAATCGTTAATCCGAGGACGGCGCTGCTGCTGCAGTTGGTGTGTGTGTGTGTGTGTGTGTGTGTGTGTGTGTGTGTGTGAGAGAGAGAGAGAGAGAGAGAGAAGGAGAGAGAGAGAGAGAGAGAAGAGAAATTAATGTGGGAGAGTAGGGGTGGGAGAGAACGACGATAAATAAAATATAGACGGTAGAGAAATTGACTTTTAGCTGTTAGAACTTTCTATTTTCAGCGCTTTAGCTCCAACAAGAGTGTGAAAGAGTGTACATACGCTTCGGTACATTATCAACAAACAGTTCCCCTGACAGTGAGTCACCCTAAATTACTCTCTAATCCCAAAACAGTTTTCCATTTCAAAGTGGCAAAATTCTGTTACAGTCTTAAAACTGTAGAACTAAAAAGTTTGTCACTTAGAATTGCAGAACTATACTTGTTCAGCACATACAGAGGCGAACTTTTTTATTACAAGTGGCCATCAGTTCTTACACATAGATTTGTAGTGTAACTGAAAATCGACTAAGTTACAGTGCAGTAGGGTCCACTGTAGCTTCCGTTTGAAATGAGTTTTCAGTAAAATCTTCGAGAAATTATTATTTTCCCTCAACAATAATCGATAGTTTGGCGAATAACGCCGTGCTCCTTTTTTCCTGTGTAATAAAGTCATTACGGCACGCAAAAGACGTCCCCCTAGCGCCTCCGCCCCACCCTTATCAGGCGCAGACAGATCAAAGCCGTCGGCTCGTTTTTGCCAAACCTTCGCCGAGCGGTCTGCCTGCGACGCAGTATCATGGCAACGTTATCGGCGACTGGACCAGGGGCGCTTGAAGGAATCGCCCTGAAAAATAATAATCACGCCACGCGTATATCTCGCTGATAGCGCTCGCCTGCAGCACCACTCGAAAAAAGTGTGTCCACGTAGTCATGGGCGCTGATTGAAGTGCGGTGACGGAGCCAACTCGCTTGGAAAAAAATGTCATGAGGCAATCAGCTCATGTGCTGTGTGTGTGTATCTAGGCACGCTCTGCAATTGGTTCGAGTAATATGGAAAAGTGTGCGGTTGCGGTGCAACATGTGAGCATGCATACACTGTAAAGCACGCGGAGTCTGGGCGAGCTGAGATTGGAACAACCTGGGGCTGGGGCCGTCCCGCTCAGGCTCCTGTCCAGCAGTCCGTCACGTTCTCCGCTCCGGTGCGACGGCTTCCAGCTCCAGCATCATGTACTCCGCTGCATGAAGGAGGCCCTAACCTTGCCCAACGGGTTCTGCTAGGGTTGTCGAAGCAACTGGTTAGAGTGGCCGGTGCGGGGTTGCTTGTCGGGGCGGTGGCTGCTGCGCCCGCCGCGGCTGTTGCTCCTGAGGGCCACAGTGCCTTGCTCGGCCACCAGGGCGCAGCACCTCCTCGGCGGTTAGCGCGCCGCCGCTGGAGCTGCAGCGCGAGCGGGCAACTTGTTGCCGGAGCGTGGAGAAGTCCCTGGGTGCCATTCCCTCCTCCCGCCATACCCGAGTTACCGGTGGTTCTGTTCATGTGAGCTTCCGATTGCTTGAACTTGAACACCCCGTCAACCCGAAGAGGTCGCCTGAAAGGGGGGCCATTCATTTTACGAAATCTCTATGCAGGCAAACCAAAAAACAACCTCCATGATCGATTTACTATAACATTACCATCCACAAGTTCTCTATATTATGTTATAGAAAAGTTTACCCATGATCAGCTTCCATTCATGTTCGATTAAATATTTGTTGTGATGCACGATGTGTATACCATCACGGCTAGAGTTGCAAATTTCCAAGAAAAAGTCAGGAAATGGGAATGGTCCCAAGGACCGTGCCCGCGTCACGACGAGGGCAGAGTCCGTAGCAATGTCCATGGCGATGGCTATGCCCACGGCCAGGGCCAGGGCGCGCCATGAGGGACGGCGGCGCCTTCAGACCAGTTTATCTGTACGACCCAGCCGAGCCGACCCTGGCGGAGCCTGGCGGAGCCCTGCAGGGATTAGGTGGCCGCCGGCGGGGTCCTGGCGGGGCCCTCCAGGCCCTCCAGGTAGACGGCCCAAATGGAGGAGGCGCAGGACGGGGAGGAGGAGGCGGGCAAATAAAGCCGCCCCGACGTGTGAGTGTGTGTGCGAGAGAGACGGTGAGAGGGCGAGGGCGAGAGAGAGAAGGGGAGCAAGCCGACACGCGAGCCGAGCCGCGGCCGAGCGGCCACGCGCCCGCGGGACCCATTGTCGGCAGGCTTCGGCTCTGACTTCGGCTCCACCGGCGGCGCAGGGACTCTGCGGAGCCCGGGCGCGCGCGAGCGGCGCGGAGGGGTGGGGGAGCCGGAGGCCGGCCGGCCGGCGGGGACGGCCGTCTCTCCCTCCGCTCGCTGGATTCAGTCCCTAACCGAAGCTGGAGCAAGCAGCACCACCCGAGAGCGCACCCTCTCGCTTCTCCCCCAGCACCCCGACGACGACGACGAAGTCGAAGTCGCCGACGACAACCCCTGTGGATTACTGTGCAGTGATGCTCCTGTGACCCCTCGGGGCCCCTAGTGTTGTGAACTCTCTCTTCCTCGTCCCCCCGCCGCCACCATGTCGACCGCCGTCATGCCCCTCGGCTCCCTGCAGCAGCACCGCGCGCTCGTCCAGCCCGCCAAGAAGATGGTCATGATGTTGAGCCCGCCCCAGGACCACCCTCAGATCGTGCAGCCCAGCAACGGCGCCTGCGTGATCGTGTCGGCCAACGGCGCCTACAGCCCGCCCCCGCACTTCACCAACCTGGACGGCGGCAACAACAACAACGCCAAGGCCAAGAACAACAACAACAAGGTGAGCCGCGTGAACGGCGGCGCCGTGCAGAAGGCGACGCCGCGCACCTCGGTGGTCGTGTCGGCCGCGCCCGCGCTCTCGGCGGCCGCGGCGGCGGACGCCCTCCGCTGCAAGCGGCGCATCCAGTTCACGGGCACCGGGGCCGCGACCTTCGGCGGCCACCAGACGGCGTCCGTGCAGCGCCGCAACGCCCGCGAGCGCAACCGCGTCAAGCAGGTCAACAACGGCTTCGCCACCCTGCGCTCGCACATCCCGCCCGCCATCGCGGCCGCGCTGCAGGAGCAGTCGCCGCCGCCGTGCGAGCCCCGGCCCAGCGGCCGCCAGTCTGCCAAGGACAAGGAGGCCGCCAAGAAGCTGAGCAAAGTGGAGACCCTGCGCATGGCCGTCGAGTACATCCGGAGACTTCAGCTGCTGCTCAACGAGACGGGCGCCAACAACGAGAACGCCGACCCCGTCTCACCCGTCAACGTCAAGACCGAGTCCGTCCTCATGCCTGGTGAGTGCGACGCTATAAAGTCACAGTGCATAGTTTCTCGGCTTGGCTTTATTATACAACACCTTTAAGTTTCTTATCTCGGTTAAAGCATAATTCCGAAAAAGATTACGCGAGTACCGATCGCTTATCGCGGGGCCATCGCGGGGCCAATACTCAATATAGCGCTGTGTCGTCTAGCGAATGCGGTCGGGAGTCGAACCCTGGATGCATCCCAGGGGCGGGCCGCGGGCTGGCCGGGGGCGGGGGGCCGCCAGGTCCAGAGGATGCTGCGGCGCAGCGCGGGGAGGCGGGGCGGGGCGGAGACGCAAAAGAATGAGCCGGTTCCTTCAAGCTTCACAGAACTTTAGGGTCTTCTGCTACCTGGGCCGCTTTTTCATCACACAGACACACACACACACACACACAGTAGGGCGATCCCATGCATCTCTGCTCGTCTGACAAGCAGCTCCTTCCTCCTCCTCCTCCTCCTGCTCTATCCGCGTTGCTGTAAAAGTGTTTTCTGCTTCGCACAACTTTTTTACGGTTCCCACACACACTCGCAGCGCGTAAATCTGCCCTGCTTCTGCTTTACGGTGGCCAGAACCAGAAGCGGAGGGTTAGTTCCGCAGGGCGGCAGTAAAAACGCGTGCAGAGGGCGGGCGCGCGTCAACGCCTGGAGGTGGAGACGTCCGCTTTCCAGAGTCTAGGACGCACCACTGAAAAAAAAATAAAAAATTGCACACCTTAGACACTTAAAACTTAACGCGGTGTGAAAGTTAGCGGAATAGATGATTTGAAGGCCGTTCGCACGTCGACTTAAATCTGCACATGTTTGCGGTGAAATGATGGCAAAAATGACTGACATTCCTGTTTTGCTTCTTCAACAGACTCTCCCCACGACGGCTACGATGCCGACTACGAGACGGCCCTGGCCCTGTCGCAGTACAGCATGGCGTCGACGCCATCCACCGCCTCGCACCCCGTCACCAGCAGCGTCAGCACCCTGGTCAACCTGGGCACCGGCCACCACCACAGCCACCACCACCAGCACCAGCAGCACCCACAGCACCAGCAACAGCACTTTGTGTCCATGTCGCCGCCGTGCTCGGACGCCGGGTCGGCCGGGTCGCCGACGCCGTCCTACGTCTCGGACGGGTCGGCGGGCGCCTCCTCCACCGGGTACGCGCCGCCCACCTTCGTCGCCCACGGCGGCACCCACCACCTCCGGCCCACGCACCTGGGCGACCCGCCCGCCACGCCGCCAGACTCCACCGTCTATGAGCCCATGAGCCCCGAGGACGAGGAGCTGCTCGACGTGATCAGCTGGTGGCAGCAGAGCAACTAAAGTGTGATAGCTGGTGAGTTACCGTTCTCTTAACAAGTACACCGCGACCCATCCCCCCATTTCGCATTAACAGGAGATTGCGTGCTGCTGTAGTAGTAGTTAAACCCGCGGTATGAATTTCTTTTTTACGATCCGTGCGAGCTGCGCCGCCCCTTACGAAACTTGCTCTAGGGGCCTAAATGCAGGAGGCACTTGCCAACGCCGCTCGAACTGCTCGCCCCCGTTCGTTAGTGTGCGAGAGCCTACCGGTTCTGCAGGCCAAATGTCTCCCGCTGATACGGTTCGGGAGCGAGAGGCTGCGCCGATCATTTGGTGGGTCTGTCTCGGTGCGATAAGCTCGGCGGTCCACCGCCTTTCGGAGGGAGAAAAAATAAGAAAACACTACGGAGAGACATCATAATGTGTCATTTGTGGTCGGCTGTGCGTGCGCGGGCGGTGTTACCAACACAAACACACACGCGCGCACAGCGAGCGGTACCGTACGCTCTGCGTTCGAGCAATGTGCGATGTGTTCATTGAGAACAGCGGCAGCGCCTTGGGTGCCCCCCGGGCCCCGCCCCGCCCCACGGGAAACGAGTTCTGCAGCTTCTGCATCGCCATTCGGCTCACTTACGCGCCCAGAGAGATAACAATCCCGCGCATGTGTGTGTGTGTGTGTATTGCGTTGCAGAAATGTCCGTTTATACCAAAGCACCAGTTCAACTTTGCGGGCATCGTACTCATCACTATGCATCTCTCTCTGCCCCCCTCTCTCTCTCTTTCTCCCACCCGCGCACACCGCCCCCTTTGGCAGTAATCTATTTCCGCCCGGCCCTCAGCCCCGCTGTGCGTGTGTGTGGGAGAGAGAGAGAGAGAAAGAGAGCGTACAGAGCGCACGATCGCGCGCGGCCTCTCTCCAGGCTCTGCTGTGTATCTCGACCAGTCACGCACGAGTATTATTAGGTTGGCGACCCTTTTTCACAAACATCCCTCCTCCTCCTCCTCCTCCTCCTGCTGACCCCCGAGCCGCACGGGCGTGCGACAGCGCGACACTCCGGGCCCGCCGCTGCGCGCCCCGTTCTAAATGCACTCGTCCGGCGTCAATACTCAGAGTTCTGGGCATCCTCCCCCCCCCCCTCCTTCTTTCTCTTTCTCTCTCCTGTTGTTGCTTACCGCTAACGATGAGCTGTGTTGCGGCGCCGCCCGGAGTGGCCGTGACTCTGGAACAGATGCCCAGGCAGCCGTGAAGATGATGTGAAAAAGAGTTGCCGTCATCGCCTTGCTCCCCCCGGCACGCGCCGCGCAGTACATTCTGGAAAAGAACATGGAAAATAGAACAAATTTTAGAATCGTAGCGGCGTAAGTTCTTGTCGCCGGTGAGGCCCTGGTGGCGGCGGTGGTGGTCGCGCCGCCACCGCGGTCGCCTGGGGAACGCACGAACGCACCCGCGCAACTATCGCTGTTTGTACAATACGCTCCACAAGTGGTTCGCGTACGCGTAGTGCGCCCCTTGTCTCTAGCGCCACCCGCATGGCCCGCGTCTTCCCCCCCCCCCCTCTCTCCCTCCCCATCTCCCGCCGTCTTTTGGCGTTGTAATTTGCAGTTTCCGGTCGTTCGGCCTGTTCGTTACTCCGTCCCGCCGATATGACGAAAAAAATAAAATAAAATGCAGCCGCGCGGTCAGAAACAGTCATCTTTCCTATTTCTCTCAGTTTATCACCGTTTCCGAATCCGTCGGTTGCGGTCGGGACTCTGGAAGGGATGCATTAACATAAGCGGGTCGTGATATCACACGTTCGGCGGGAAGGTCCGTTTTCTTTGTCCCCTCCTAGTGGGACTTTTGTAAATGCGCATTACTGCCATTCCTCTATATCCCTCTTTGAATTTCTCTCAAACGCATTTTTTTCCCCGTCTACTGCATATTTGTCTTCTAATCCCAGCCCAGGCCTTCGACAGTGTGATATCCGCGAGTGCCGCACATTAGTATTCGCGCGATTCGTCCCATACCGCTCATTTACATTTATTAATATTTTTCCATTCGGCGGACCCGTGTATGGTAATTATCGACCTATTGGTTGACAAACCCTCCTGATCGAACACCACCGGTTGCGATTGTAACGAGATCATGTTTTCCCCTTTCTGCTCGGCGTGGATCTGAACTCCTATTTGCTTTTCAATTGATGTGAGAAAAGTCGTTGGCCGCCCGCTGATGCAGCCCTGCTCCGCAGACTTTGGACAGGTTTTTGGGAGGAGTTTCGGCCGCGGCAGCGCGAGGCCGCCGTTGTCAACACGTACGGCGGCGACCTCGAACGACGACGATTTATGCGGTTTCGGACGCAGCCCTTTGTGCGTGAGTGTTGTTCGGACGCGGCCCGACGTCGTCGTCGGCTAGGTGTTATCAGGCATTCTCTTCCGGCGGCGAGGGCCGCAGTGGCAGGCTCGGCCGGCAGGGGGGGAGGGGGCGGATCCAGCCGTAGGGAGGGAGGCAGTATTCGAGAGATCGATAGCCAATCAATCGATTGTGATTATCGGCGGGGCCAGGGCGCCTCGACGCAAAAATAGGTCCCCGTCAAGGTGCGAGCGCACCCGAAAGTGCCTGAGTACTCGGCACTTTTGGGTGCAAGCGTGCTCGAGTTGACTGTACGATATCTGACGGTTGGCTTCGCGGCCCGACGGCAGCGCGACTTTATAGGTGAGGAGGATAGGGAGCGAGGGGGGGGGGGTGTCCTGAGGCGGGTCGGCAAGGTACGGTTCGCTGATAGTTTCGGTAGAAGCAAGAGGGAAAAGGGGGGGGGGGGAGATGAGTCGTTGCCGGCTCAGACTTTCGTCTATTCTTCTTGTAGCCGTCCAAGCTTAGTCCTTATCAAAAGGAGAAAAGGTGGAGGGGGGCATCTTGGCTCCGTGCAATCAAGACGAAAAAAAAGAGAGGAGGGGGAAGATTTTAAGGGCGATGGACTAATGCTACCCTCCTCCCCTCTCACAACACCTAAACCCCCCCAACCCTCCCCTCAGTGCTCCACATACAGGGAATAACAATGCTTGATTACCCAGCTGGCAGTTAAAAGCAATAACGGACGGCAGCAGGAGAGGTTGCTTACCTTAGAGCAGCGAACAGTCGGCAGACTTTTCACGTCAAATAAAAAATAAGTCCGCAAATTATTTTTAGAGAATTTATAGCACTATTGATAACGATAGCTCTCCTAGGGCGATGCTCCTCCCTCTTCCGTGCCGTGCGGTACCAACCCTTCTTATTCAACTGGACAGGTTGGCGCGGCAAATAATAAATTCCCTCTCTTTTGAGGAAATCTACAATATTCGCATGACGATAGGTGCGGAAGAGGGCGGGGAGGGGGATGGGGGATGATGCAGTGTGACGTAAGAGATTCATCTTTTGCGGTACGAGGGAGGGGCGGCGGTGGGACGGGACGTCTGGACGCCCTGACGGTGAAATCATTATCAATAGGGATTTCACAAAGGGAGGGGGGGGATCAGGTCTGCACGGTATTCACCGGGGGGGTTTCTTACACACACCCCTCGCTTCAATGGCTTTAGCCGCATGGAGGGAAGAGGGGGGTTGGAGGCTGAGTCGTCGTCGACGACACATTCCCTCAAAATCCCCCCTCCCCTCTCCCCCTTTTCCCCGTGGGACCTTATCCCTGGCATTAAAATATCAAAAACGGGGAAGGGGACGGGGGAGGGACAGACACATACTGTCGCAGCATTGTGTCGCCGTGCTGAACAAAAGCCGCCCCCGGCGCAAAGGCAAAAGAGTTAAGTCACACGTGCACCCAAACACACGGCCATGAAGCTATTTTTTCTTCTTTCTGCCTTTACGCAACCTCTCAAGAAGAAGAAACCCTTTTCCGCGTGCCCCCCCCCCCCCTTCTCCTCCTCCCGTCGTGAACGTTAGTCATTTCATTCTTAGTACGAACGGACTAAATGGAAGCCGCGCCGCAACTCCGGCAAAGGCCACGCTGAGATGAGGCGTTCACACCGCGCAGTCGTCTGGCGGCGGTTGGCTAAGCGCTAACGTCAACAGGCATTGTCCTTACCTGACCGCCAACCCCCCGGCATGCATGCCTCGCCCCGTCTACAGCCGAGTCGGAGAAAGCTCGGCGGGTCGAACCGACTGCGCACCGTAGCGATCGGACGGGTTGTGGACTGGCGGACGGACACGGAGCCTTCTACTTGATCAATCTTCTCCTCTCCATGTGCGTGCACATCGTGCCCCCCCCCCCTCTCACAGTTGACCACGTCTTCCAACCCCTGGGAGTCCCTCCCCTCCCCCCTATCCCTTTCCTATCACGTAGTCCTATAAGACGCCGCGTGTCCAACGGTCTCCGTTAGCAGTCAGTTGGATGCGTAGAGAGATAGTTTCGTCATCGCAACGACGCATTACTCTAGACTAGACCAGTCTAGGTGCGGAGGTAGTAAAGCTAGTTCCAGTATTTTTATTACGAGCATGGCAGGAGCGGGGATCGGACCGAATGGGCGAGCAGTATGCTCCGTTTGATTGAAATGAGAAAAGAAAATGGACTGCACTACATTTCGGGTGAAACCACTCTCATTCTATTATTTCTCTCTCGGATGGCTCTCACTCGTTCAACACGCGCCTCGGCTCACAGAAAAGCATTCGGCATCGTTAGTCCTAAAGCACGCAATCTTCCCCCCTTGATCTGCAAATGACTGACAACTTCTTCCTGGCACATTCTCTAACCTACGTCGTTCTTTCTCGCTGTTTCAGATAGTGTCGCCATTGAGACTGACTGGTCGTGCGGACGACTGGAAGCCGACTGGAAGCTGACTGGGACAGCATTCGTCCGGAGCGCCAACGCATTCCTGAACTGCGGATTGCACCTCGCGGCGCTCAAAAGCCCAAGATTTGCAACAAAAGAAAAAGATGCAACGAAGTGCCTTACACGAGACTTTACTTCTCGTTTTATCATTCGCTAACAAGACGAGCAGAGGAAGGGCGATTTAAGTTTTAATACTTTTGTTGGCTGTTTGTTTTTAAGTAATCGTTGATACGCTTGTGGATATTTTTCGAGACCGCCTGGTGCCTTTTGTTCTTTATTTGCAAAGGACCGCGGTGGTAGAACAATGTCAAAAATTAAATGCTAAGAAAAAATACGTGCCTTAAAGCAGCCACCAGTCTTGCGCTTGGTGCCTTATTCGCAGTTTAACAGACTGAAGCGACAGAGGATTTAAAGGCTGACTATTTTGGAAAATCGTCCTTCAGCTTTGAAACATGTGCGGATGCGACACCAAATCGACAAACATTAAACCTTGATTTGGTGTCGTGTCAGCGCACAAGGTAGCCGGACGCAATTTCCTCAACATCCCTAATGCACCTGAGCGTGCGCAGAAAGAAATAACAAAACTAACATCAAGGACTTCTCGGCGCAGATGCTTCTTGTTTTTACGTTTTGCTGTGTACTGTCTTGCCCTTGCGACGAACCTCAAACACTGGCCTGATTCAGATCCCTTTGTGGTTTTCCGCCAGAGTCTGGGTGACAGTGGCGTGTCTGACTTACTCCCTGTCGCTTAAAATATAAGTTTACCATCGAGAGTGGAAAGTTACCACATAAAAATGTTACTTAATATTAGCTCAACTTTCAAAAATGAATGTTAAAGTTCGTTACATGAGGCAAGTGAACCATATGCTAAATAGACGAATCGGTGACAGATTGAAACTGAGTGTCACAATCAAAGATTGAATGATGTCAAACTTGTAAATTGCAAGTATATAAAGGCATAATAGTTTAATGTACAAATTGATTATGTTTAAAAAAAATATAGACTTTTAGTTATGTTAAATCTAGTCAAGACATTCTCGTCTGTATAGTACATTTTGTTTGTAAATGGTGTAGATACAAGGTGGGTGCATTTTGTTCCCTTCAACTCTTGTCTTCTGAGTTGACAGCTCTGACCAATTAAGTTCATCAGAACGTAGAGAGACCATCGTACTTTGACTTTCATATTACTTGGTATGTTTGTGATTGAATACAAATGACATTTTCGGTTAAAATATATATTTTTATAGCTCTGTTAACAATGTTGCCATATCGTTGTTTCATATTTTTATTCGAGCAAAACAAACATTTTTCGAATGTGGGACCGTTGTTCTACACTGACGTGAACCTGATGTTAAACCATTCCCGAAGATTCTAACCCCGTACTCTGATGTGGTCTCGGAGGATTTTGTGATATTTTGCATGAATCTCATGTTACATGCTCCTCATCTCTTTTAAATCGAAACTGTGAACGCGTAAGCCTTATTGTTTGAATTTTGTATTTTTCTAGATTGAAATATTTGTTATATATTTAAATAAAATATCAATACCTGAAATACTCGTGTACTAATATTTTTCATGTTCTTTAAGATTTAGGGTATAGATTTCTGTACCGCAGTCACACAGTCATATTTTCCGTCTCCTGTATAATGGCGAACGAACAGGCAGGACGCTGTGATAAGAACCAATAGTGCACACACTGGGACCTTGACCGGTTCCTGCTGTATGGAGATATACATGGCCGTTCAACTCACGGCCACTGACCTAGTTATCGCATATAGTTCCTTTTTGACTCACTACGGAGGCGATTTGGCATTCCAAAACGAGTTAGTCACAACTCTCTAATAAATTGTAGTCACGGATCCACTTTTTCACAGTTAGGCAAACGAAATTTCCCTGCAATATTTTCGACTTTAGTCGATGATGTATACATCACGAACTATTATTTCAAAGTCAAAGGCTAGAAAACAGACATAACTAGGAGCGGTATTCATAAAGTTTATGCGCGTCTTTCTAGAATAAAAGTCAGCAGACCGATTTCACAGGTTGACGTCAAACCCCAAGGGAACCTGCAAGCACAAAGACGTGAGCACAAAGGAGTATAGTAGTGCCAAAACCAAGACAATGTAAAGACGCTTCGGTGCTTTCATCCCCATGATGTATGAGATATATATCTCGGCATTCATAGAAGATCGACCAAAAAAGACGACAGACGCTCGAATCACCACGTCTTTTTATCCATCACTTTTATTTGAGAAAACGCTCTTTTCCTGCCTTTCTGGTTGCAATTCATGCAAAATACCAAAATTATATTTCAGGTGAAAAATATAAAAACCCCTCGCCCCCCCCCCCTTCTCTCTTTCGTCGAGGATGTTTACCTCGGTTTACCTGCCCAGACGGCGCCAGTGGGGTAAGCACACCACCAAAAATCACTTGCTTCCGAAATGCTACTTTTAGTATGAGAAATCGCTTGCGTCAAAGCAGGGGGGTTCTATTGTTGCGGTTAGCCAAAGACATCATACTGTTGTCACTGGGCGAGAGAAAGAAAGAGATTCTGGATGATACCACGATACCTTAGCCGTGGTTACCGGCCTTGCTTTGAGTTATCGAAGAAGTTATCGATCCTCGCTTTCGCGGAAAGACTCTCCACCACTTGGGGCGCTCACGGAGCAGACTGCCCCTCGCATCAAAGAAGTTACAAAAGAGCGCGCGCGATTTGAGTCGAGTGATATGTTAGTCGTGGTGGTTTTGACAGACATTTTCTTTTATGCTCCACTGTACACTGTAAATAATTTTTCACTCAGCATTTGCAAAACATATGGTACAATATTAATTTGTTACAAGTATGATTAAATGTACTCTTAATAAAGCGGGAATATTTTCAATTTAATTTTAGAGTGGGCGTATGTGTGCCGCCCACCCACTCTTGACTTCACTGCATGTGCATGGTGCACGGGGGGCGGACCGTCAGAGCCCGAGGATGGCGGAAGCCGAGTTTGCTGAACTTTCTGACTCGTGGCCTCGGAATGCGCTATTCGCCACTCTTTGCTACTGCTGAGGTGTTGGGCCGAGGCGAGGAAGATCACGACAGACTAAGCGTCAAACCTTATCGAAAGAGTACAGCAGATAAAGACTTGTTGCCTCATACGACTTCTTGGGATCCTATGCATTTGGAAACACAGTATCGAGTGGTTTCCATCGAATCGTTTCAAAATTTCGAAACCTTTTGTCGCGTCGTTGCTCTGTGAGGACGTTTGTGACAGAGGTGAGTGCGTTGCGTACAAGGCGCTTCACTTCAACTTCACGCGCGCTGTAGAAAATGGAAACAAGTAGCGATACTCAGGTACGGCACCGCGTGACACCCCTTTGCCTTGTGTCGAGAGAGAGAGAGAGAGCAGTCATTTTTACACGACTGTGCTGGTGGCGTCGCGCTCCAGCGGGCACCGCGCACATGTGCACAGAAATCACGCAAGTATGTGTGCGTGCATGTGTGTGTGTGTGTGTGTGTTCGTGTGTGGGGGGGG